TAAGAAGGGTTAAACCTTTTCTAAAAACAGAAAACCTAATTGACATTTACAGGTCAATAACTGAGCCTTACTTTACATATTGTTGCATTGTTTTGGATAGTATAAGTGAAATACAGATTGTTAATTTGCAAAAGCTCCAAAACCGTGCAGCGCGAATAGTAACTGGTGCTTCCTATTTGCAGAGATGTAGTGATGTTCTCTGTAAATTAGGCTGGATGACATTAGAAACAATGAGAAAACGTCAAAAAGCCATTTTGATGTTTAAAATACTGAATGGTCTCACTCCCCCGTACCTGTCTTATAGATAGATAGATAGACAGACAGACAGACAGACAGACAGACAGACAGACAGACAGACAGATAGATAGATAGATAGATAGATAGATAAAGAGGTGGATAGTTAGATACTGAGAATTGGATGGATGGATGGATGGAACCCTATATTTAAATATGGCATTTTATCAAATTAAAATATACAACGATATTAAAATTTGGTTTACATAAAATCCGTACGCAATACAAGTTATATATTTACTATTAGAAAGCTTAATGTTCTAGAACTAGTTTTGGTGGTGCTGATAGTAATAGTCCAGCTTACCCATAAACTTTTTTAGAGAAGTTATTTCCTTTAAACTGTTTGCAAATCATTCCAGATTAAAAGTCTCAGTTGTGTGCTTACCATTGTTTTCACCAAAAAGGGACACCTGTTGTTGTTTTTTTTTTATGCTAGAGCATCAATCAGTCAAAAAAAGTTATTAAAAGTCAAACAGTTTGGTTAACAATAAAGAAAAAAAATCACCTTATTACATTTTCCTTGATTTTGTCCACCTCCTCTTGCAAGAAAGGAATACTGCATTTTTTGTGACTGCAAACAGGAAAAAAAATAATTCAAATTGTTGGAATGTTCAAATTATGTATAATCAGATTTTCCAGCATTTAAATACAATTAAGTAAAGCTAAAAGAAAACAGTTTTTATCACCAAAAAAAGTGATCTATCTATGCCAAGTCTTCCCATGCATTTTGTAAAGAAATGGCATATTAGTGAGTTTCTATCTTAAAGTAAGATACCATTAGTTTTTGGCCTGGGAGTCCCGTAAGCTCAGATCCAAGAAGTGAGAACATCAAAAATGGACTGGAAACTGGAAACTAATTTATCATATAAGGATCTTCATTTCTGACAATGTTTAACAGTGGATAAAAGAATAGAGTGTTGCAAAACTAAGTTTTCTTTAAAAAAAATAATAAGCTAACAATGAAGTATATATCCCACCTTTCACTTGTTGACACTGACTCTTCGGGTGTATTCTTAAGTAGAGTAATTAAATCACATTTGTCAAGTGGTAGGCGCTTAAGGTTACTGTCAACAAAATAGGGTGTCCTCACAAAACTGTGGGGCTTCTTATAAGGAAGGCTCAGAAGAAAGGGAAGTCAACACAACAATTTAAAGTTTAGTCAATGTCTTAGTTACAAAAAAAGGTACAAAATTGATAGATAGATACTAAAAATTTGCTTGAAAAACATTTTTCACATTGTTAACAATACTTCTTGTGGAAATGAATACAATAGCTTTGTCTTAACTGAGCACAAGGGCTGTACTGAGGAATATTGGCCCTCAGTTGTTTGGTATGGACCTTGCTGACAGGTTCACACAAGACAGAGACCCAGTGCAGCTTAATGAGCAAGTGAAGTTAGTGAGTAGGCTAAACCTTGTCATAATAATTATAAATTTCACTTTGCCTGCTTTAGTGGACAAAAAGACTTGGCTCCTGATCATTTTGAATAGGAAAAATTCATTTGGCAAAATTGCAATTGAGTAAGAACCAATCAGAAAACTTGGATTTTCCTCAGGACTACCTTGCCATATAATAATGTTTGTTACTGAGTTTATCTTAGGGTGCAGTTGTTTAATGCCCACACCTGTTTTGTAATGGTCTCTTTACACATTTTCATTAGCTGCAGCTGCCTCTCTTTTTCCTCCTTTTCCTTCTTCAGCATTATATTTCTTTCCTTCAGAGATGCAATTTGGCTGCAAGTTAAAACATTTTCTTGACAAAGGCATAATCTTTCGTTTTCCCCTTTCTATACCTTAAAAGGTTGGCAGACAGTTTTCTGCCCCCTTGCTTTGGCACAAAAATACCCAGGAAATTAAGCAAGGAATCATAAATTCCTGCTGGGAAAATGAATAGTAAAAGATAGAAGTGAAGAGTTGTAAGTTAATCTTTCAGTAAAGTTTTTCAGTCAGCACAATCAATCTAATGGTTAGAACAGATCCTCTCCTTAAAATACAATTTGGTGCATTAGTGTTTCAAGTGTGAGCATACCACCTAGGTTACAGAAAGCTAAAGACAAACATACTTTTCTAATTCTTCACAATGACTCTTGGCACTTGGAATCTTCAGCACAAAGTCCTCATTCCAGTGTTTCTCATTTACCTTATATGATGAAACAGAACAAAACACAAAACCATGGTCACTTCTGTAAGTATCACATATGATTATCCAGCTATATATGTTGTGGTTCAAATTTAATCTTTGGTTTGAATTTTTTAAAACCAGTTTAAATTTTTCAAACTGGTTAGTAATTTTTAACACTTAACTCGTTCTTATTTATTTATACCTCTCCTTGTAAAATACAGTGTAAATAAACTCACATTTTAGTGATTAGGGTTAAGCATTAATTTTTTTTTCAAATGGTTAGCTTTCGTGTAAGGTTACGGGTAGCATTTGGCACCCAGTTTTGTTACTGGGGTTAAGTGCTTTGTTTGAATGGTTTGGGTTATGGTTAGGGTACGATTTCATGCAAGCCCTTAATTGAATGAGAAATACTTGGCTTTGGTGACAACATTAAATATTTATTTTTTGGCACTCCTGTAAAATAATAAGAAAGGATAAAAAGGTATAGTTAGATGTTATGGGGGGTTAGATGGAAGGTAATGAGAGGGGTTTGGAAAAAGTAGATTCAGGAAGGGAAAGACAGTATAAGGAGGGAGGGGTGGTTCTTGAACTAAAAAAAAATTGAATAACGAAATTTTCTTATAAGCACAAATTCTTTTTAAGAACCCCCCCAAAAAGCCAAGCCCCTATTTTTCAACCACACCCCAAAAAAGGAAGGCCCTTTTTCAGACAGTTGATAACAGAAGTGGTTTAAAAATTTCAAACCAGTTTGAAAAACCTAAACTCCCCCCCAAAATTCAAACCAAAGGTAAAATTTGAACCAGAACATATACACTCTGTAGAGTACAAATAACGCTATAGACGAGTGCAAATATCACACGGTATTTGTACTCCAAAGAACCGGTCCCCCCCGTTTTCTCGCATCGCACAAAAGAAGAATTGGATTGAAGTTACGAAAAAAAATCCCCCCCCATTTGAATCATATTTCTAACGATGAAGAGTCGGGATGGCTGGAAAATATAGATCCAAGTTTATTAGATGAATCAAACAAAGAAAAACAGCTAGACAACCAGTAAAATAATTTCTTCATTTATTGAAGAAAATAGAAACAGTAACACGACAACGTGCCAATTTCATTCCACTTTGCAAACTTCTGTCATGCACTCCCTGTAAATAAATATCTGTGAAATTTGTCCACACTGAAATAACACTTTGGTGTGTAGATAATAAATAACTTATTAGACGTTTTGTTGTGTAGTATCGCTAAGTATCTTTACTTGTTATTTGTATTTTGACTCGCCCCACAGGCTTGTCAAAATATGGCAATTCTTGTAAAAATATTCAGCGATACTACACAACAAAATGTCTAATAAGATATATGTACCATACATGTATATAACACAATATAGCACAACATGGTATCATACAAAAAGGCCAAAAAATGTGGTATGAACACCAGTGACATACACCCTAGGCTACCCCTTGTGTGTCACTTTTTCAGTCTCACTATATTTTGCTGTCATCTGTGATCATTTACAGAACAAATGCAGAGAAAAATGCTATTTATTTGTAAAATATACAACATCTGCAAACCTTGCATTGAAAAAGGCAGAAATGAAGGATGAAATTAAACATTACACAAAGAATTCAACGCACATCTGAATTTGAGCCAAGGTTACTATTCATCAAAGATTTCCTTTACTCAAACTGATCATGCATGAAAACTAGCTCCTTTAAACAGGGTATATGCATGGTTGAATTCAACCAGTAATCATCATGACAATTATTGATCGATTTATAATAATAATAATAATGGTTTATTAAACTCTCTTGCAGTAACTTACTGAATTAACAAGTTATGATACCCCCCCCACTTAATAAGAACGACTATGTACATTTCTGTATACATTAAGTACAAGTTTTATCCCCCCCACAGAATATACATCACATTTGTTAAAAATACTTAAAAGTTAAAAAGTCTTTGCCCCCCCCCATCCCAAAGGTAATAACATTTCTGTAAAGATACAACTGGTCTGATTTGTGTCCCCCCCCATAGGGACAGGTATCGTCTAAATGTGTTGGTAGAAGAGGATGGAGAGGGTGGTTTGAGTCCTTCATTTTGCACATATACTCTTTACATATCTCATCTCTTCTATACGCAAGGGTCTCCACCCGTGCTAACTTGAGGGCTTCTGAGTAACTATCGCCACATGGGAAAATTATCTTAAGCGCCCTTTTCTGTATGGATTCAATTTTGTCACACAGATAACCTGGAATGGATTGCCCCCCCCCTACGGCGTACTCTACAATAGATCTAACAGCGCTTGTATAGAACTTTAACATGCCCCCCCCGTCAACGCTGGCTCGACATAGAATACGTAGAGAGTAGAGCTTCTTGCAGGCTTTTTGTATGTAGTTAACATGACTATTCTACCTAAGGTAGCTATCGATGAATACTCCTAGAATCTTGTAAGTCGATATGCATTCTATAGTGTTATTACCAATAACTAATGGTCTGAGAGTAAAATTAGGATACGACATAAAGTTCATTAACATCTCTTTACATTTAGTAGGGTTTATAAGTCTCATG